AATTCAATAAAGTCTCTTAATTTTACGGACGTATCTTCTTCCGTACTGGTCTCCGTCTTGTTGGTTCCTGATTCATGTGGGGTTCATCTGCTTCATCAGTAAATGTCCTATCATCGGTAACAGTCACACCAGTGGTAGTAACTTCATCAAAAGCTTCATCGTTTCTCTTCTCAAAACTGAGTAGAGTTTCTTATTCGACGGTGGCTTCTTCAGGTGGCACGTCTTCAGCAGCGTCATTTGTTCTGTTGTTCACTTCGTCCCAACTGAAATTTCCGGGACCGTGATAATGCCAAAGCCTGTTGGCATGCACCACCTTCGGCTTACCTCGCCGACCACATTTTATTCGGAATGTCACGTCTGAGAGACAATCCACTATGTCATATGGGCCTTCCCATGGAAAAGACAACTTAGGAGACTTCCCTTTTGTCTTCCTGGGATTATACAACCACACCTTGTCTCCTGGTTCAAAGCTGACTTCAGTAGATCTCTTATCATAAGATAGCTTCATCGAATCAGCAGACGTTTTCAAGTTTGAACGCACTTGATGGTGAATATCATCCATCCTTTCCGATAACACTTTCACAAACTCTGACACATTTTCAGGCAACTCTCCATAAGGTGGGTGTTCCTTATGCTTGGGTCCCCTTTTAGCATTACATGTACTGCATGTCCTGCACCATTCTTCCACATCTCGCCTCATACCTATCCAGTATAATCTTTTTCGTAGATGACTCAATGTCTTCTTGATTCCGAGATATCCTCCGGTTAAATTATCATGGGATTGACGCAGCACAACTTCCCGTAACTTCCTCGGTATAACTGTTTGCCAAGTCGTCACTTTCCCATCGGTAATTTCCCATTACCGTACAAGAATACCATCTTCAAGCCTCAACTGGTCCCTTGTCACAGGGCTTAGACTAGACACCTTCTCCCAAGCAGGGCGCAAAACACTTGTTTTTAGGAAATCAATTATTGGCTTCAGATCTTGGTCTTTCTCCTGTTCTGCTTTGATATCTATATTTGGTTCCACTTCACCATCATCAACTCTTTCAGTCGGCTTGACTTCAGCTTGATGGCACCTAATTAGTTCAACCTCTCTTTTAACAGTTACCGGAAATTGGCCTTTGTTGTTCCCAAACGTCATTTTATCAAAATTAACTACACACTTCATTGGTAGTAGATAGTCCAATCCAAATATGCATTGGTCTTCAATGTCAGCCAAGTACACCTTCTGTCTGTTTTTCATGCCCATGAGCTCGATAGTTACCCACACTGGTCCCCACAACCTTGCAGAATGTCCTGTCACACCACAGAGCTTCTGTACAGCCTCTGATACTCCTTCGTGATTTAACACCTTGATGCTCACAAGACGCAGAGTCTATGACAAAGTTGCACCTTTGGCCATCCATCTTTCCTGTCACATAGACACTGTATGCGTGCTTGGCATTTTACACCTAGCTGTTGGGACTTTCAAGATAGGGGTTGGTGGGCATCGCTCAACACCAACCACTACTGGTCTCCTTGAGGCAGATTTGTTGGTAATATTCTTCCTACACTGGCTCCTCAAATGTCCGTGCTTTCCACAGTTCCAACAACCTTTCTGGATACCAG